GAGGGTTTACTATACTATTATTTCATTCATGTACATTCTTATAATATCTTTAAAAAATAATTTCATTAATGCATTGCAGAACAGCACACAAACCCAACGAGTGGTCCAGTGCATGATCCAGAATCAGCCCTAAAGACCAGTAGTCTAGCTCATAGGGCAGTTCTACCCTGTCCAGTTTCTTCCTTTTTGCAATATTTAGATTCAAGTTCTTCAGAGTCAAATCTAATACCCAGAGAAAAGTTCCCACAATACTCATCTAATTCAATTCATACCCAGGAAGGAAAACAAACTTGGTTTGAGAGAGGGCCTTGCTATGTAGTCCAGGGTGGCCTCAAACTCTCAGAAATCCTCCTGCTTTAGCCTCCTGAGTGCTGGGATTACAGGCATGCACCACCACACTGAGCTAACAAAATTAGATATTGCACATTTTTACCTGTTACCTAATTTTATTCCCATTCTACTCCAGAGAAATGGACCATTACCGTCACTTTACAGATGAAGAAACCAAGTCTCAACAAGGGTGTTGTCATGGCTAGATACTCACAAGCAATTGGAAGTAGACAGAATTTAGGCTAAGCCTCTTGACCCTGTCCCAATATTTATTCCACTATGTCAAAACTGCTGGTCCAGGCAGAAAGTCTAAAATCGCTCCTATCCAGTGGTTTCATGAGTGGGCCACAACTCATGAAAGAAACATGCCTACCTCTTCCCCTGTTCCAGAATGCCATACAAGGGCCTTTAAGCAGGTTTTCGCTTAGATCCAGTTCCTCAGCCAAACATGTTTTTTCCTAGGTCCTCGACTATGCGTACAAACACAGCCTGGCCTCCTACTACCCAGAACCTAAGGACAAGGAGGCTTTTGTAAGATCCCTGGTCTACACTCCAGACTATGACTCCTTTTCACTGGACAGCTACAGTTGGCCCAAGGAAGCCATGAATGTTCAGACAGTCTGATGCAGTTTCAGGGGCTGATGTGGGGCTGGATGAAGCCCAGAATAATACCCACAATAAAAATGGATTCCAAAACGGCCATCCTTGTCAGTGTGTTTTCTTTTCTGTGAGCACCGTGGGTGAGGAAAAATGCCGAGGCATACAGCGAATGAGAGCCTTGTCTCTGAAAACCCTGGGAGTTCACTTTCCTGTAACCCTTTTCTGAATTCCTTCCCAAGCATTTCTTCATTCATTGATTGCCAACTATTACATAGGCCTTGTGGAAAATGCATAACGCTGCCTATATTCCTATCAAGATTGGACATAATTTATTTTGCCATAAAATAAAAAATATGGTAAGAGGGTAGAAATGTGCAGATAAAGGTCAAGGGTGCTCAGAGAGAGGAGAAGATCCTTCCTATCAGAGCATAAGAGAAGGCTCATGGGGAGTAGTATATGCACTGGGTTCCAAGAGTGAAAGATGGCTGGAAGTCATGAAGAGACAAGGAATGTGGGCACAGCCACTAGCCAGGAAATATGCCCCCCCCCTTCAGGGAATGCAGTCCCTGTCAGAGTAATACACTCCCTTCAAGGCTCATCAGGGTGTGAGGGCTCAGTGGCTGGAGGCAGTTCACTAGCCAGGACTGGTCACTGCCCTATGGGTTGTAGAGTATTAAACATTCTTTTTAGGTGATTACTAAAAGGAAAACCAGAGAAATGTGGCTGGGAGGGCCAGCATGCCAGAGGGAAGAGGAAGAGAAACAGTGAGGGACAGAACCATAGAGAGTTGTAAGGAAAACTGGTTTCATTTTCCTGGCTCTGGAACGCATTCTCTCTTCCATCCTGCACACTCTAAAGTAACTAAGCATCCAGAGCAGCTTTCTTGTAGATGCTATGTCAGTCTGTCCTAGGTATTTCTTTGACCAAGTTTAGCATTTGTCTCTTGTGTCCAACAGAACCCACATCATAGGGCATAGGGGTAAGGAAAGAGCTAAGGCCTATAGGGATGGCAGCTGCAAATGTCTAATTTCTTTGTATTACTCATCCCTAGGGACCTACTGTTGCTGCCACCGGTGTCAGAATTCCCATTGCCCACAAGGAGTGGGCTGTATTTGATCACCTCTCAATGCCAAGCCAGGTGGACTAATAGGCTTCTAGAAGAGTAGTTAGCAGAGCCATCACTCATCTTCTCCTCAGATTTTTTTCTTCTAACCTGTACTTGTCCTCAGCCAAGAATATCTTGAAAAAATATCTCTCCTCTATGATACTTGGACTCACAGAGATTGGTAAACTATTCAGAGGAAGGTTTGAAGAGTGAAGCTGGAATCTGAACATTGGGAACCATTCACACTCTTGTTCATTATTCACCATATCCCTGCAGGGGTTTATTGTTTGTTTGTTTGTTTGCATTTCATTTTTGTTTGGTAAAAATTGAAGGGATGATCTTAAAATTTATATAGAAACGCAAGTAAGAATAGCCCACTTTTAACAAAGAAGAGCAAATTTCACTATTCAATTTCACAAACTTACTATACGTGATATCATAATCAAGGCTGTGGTCATAGAAATATGTGAAACATAACTGAGAATTCACAAATAAGTCCTTGTATTTATAGTAAATTGGTTTTTCATCAAAGCTTCTAAGATAATTTAATATAGGAAAGGATAATCTTTTGAAAAAAGTGATGCTGGAACAACTGTATTTCCATATGCAAAAAGCAAAATGAAATTTAAAAAACACTTAGACATATCACAACATACACAAAAATTAACTCACAATAGTTCACAGATCTAAATGTAAAAAGCAAAAACTATAAATTCGTTGAAGAAAACAAAGGGGAAAATCTTATGATTTGATTTGAGGAGAGGTCTCAGATATTATTGTAAAATCATGATTCATAAAATAAAAACAATTATACTTCATCAAAATCTAAAACTTTGCCTTTTGAAACACCATTTAAAAAAATGAGTAGTACACAGGAAGAAAATATTTGCAAATTATATATCTGATAAAGGCATTACATCCAGAATGTAGAGAGAACCCTCACAACACAGTGACAATCCAGTTTTTGAAATGAGTAAAATATGTGAATGGCTAACAAGCACATGAAAATATGTTTAACATCGTTAGATGAAAACTAAAACCACAATGGGATACCACTTCACACTCACCAGAATGGCTATCATTAAAAAAATTGTGTTGGTGAGGTTGTGGAGAAATTGAAACAACCTTGTCTAGCAGGGTGTTATGTCTTATGCATTATGGGATTGAGGAAGATGTTCCACTGGCTTCTAACTTTCCATTTTAACTCCTCAGCCTCTCATATACATTCCCAGAACTCAGCAAGCATAACGCTGTGGTTATACCACTCAGGTCTTTCCTGAGGTCTGAAACACTCATTTCACTCATCTGCCATTATCAGAATAGGGCTCACAGCTACATCCCTCCTGAGAATTGTCCTTGACTAAAGAAAGATGCTTCACTCAAGTTTATACCATCATACCCAGCTATAGCCTCCCTCCAACAGGCATCAATCAATGATTGATTGATTCAAGACTCTAAAGCCCAACCCTGTTGCCTAAATTTCAGACATTTCCAAATAGTCATCTCATCTTCAAGACACGCTGTGAGTCTGGCTAAAGCTACTGCTTTAAGTATACTTATAAGTATATAGTATAAGTATATAAGTATATTTATAAGTATAAACATTCAATGTCTTCTGCCTATTCTGCTTTTTTGGTCGTTTCACAGGTGGTGCTCCCTGAGAAGACGCCTCAATAAATCTCTGAATGCAAATCTCACATTCAGCATCTATTTGATGGGGAAACAATTTGAAACAGATGAAAAAAACTGGCCAAGATTTTCAATTTTTCAGTCTGTTACATCAATCCCACGTGATCACCAAAAGCCTTGCTAGGTTTCTCAACCTTAGGAGAGATTCTTTGTATAGACTAAATCTGATCCTTTTTAGTTTATGTCCAGAATCAGTAAATACCCCTAGAAAAAAATGGCTCATTTCGGGAAGGCACTTCCCTCTCTGGAACTCCTATCCATGTAGTCTTTGTTGCTTTCATAGCTCTCACATATCCTTAAACATGAATTTTGAAAATTTTTTCACATTTTCTGGTGCTGCAGAGAGTGTCTTGAAGTAGAAGTCTCTAGACAGACTTTCAAAATTCCAGATGTATATATATCATCTTTTTTTCTAACTTAATTGAATTATGATCAGAGAAGTTGCTCTGAATTATTAAAATATTTTAAATTGTTCTGAAATTCATTTGGTCAAATGTATGATCAAATTTAATAAAATATTTCACGTGCTCTTAAAAAAATATGCATTTTCACACTGTTGGAGACATTGTCCCTTGTATGTTCATGGAATCAAGCTATTTGTTTTGATTAAATCCTTACTAGGGCCAGGGATGTAGCTCAGTGGCATTGTGCCTGCCTTGCAAGTGCAAGGTTCTGAGTTCAATCCCTGGTACTGGGGTGGAGAAAGCCCTAAGTCCTTACTGACTTCTGATTACTTGATCGGTTTTAGAAAGAGGGATAGTAAAATTTCCTATAGGTATGGTAATCTTTTCAATTTTTTTTGTAGTTTTATCCATTTTTTTAATACAGTTTGGGGCAGTATTACTGAATACATAAGTACAGAATTGCTATAACTTCTGGTGAATTCAAACTTTTGAAACTTTAAGCAGTGATTTTCTTTATCTTTTCTTCTACTTTTATTTTTTATTTTGTCATAGTTGCTTCTACTTTATATATACTTCTACTTTTTGTATTTTCTTCTACTTTTGCTGATGTTAAACACACTCATGACCATCTTAGAAATTCTTTCTCTTTCAATTCATTATTTATTTGGATAGTTGGTGAAGGTGAACTCTGACATATTATTTCTCCTATAGAACTCTAACCATGTATTTCCAGACAGTAGGAAAATATAGTTGTATTAACATCAAAACATACCACCATTTTATCAATTTCATAATAAAACTAATTATCAAGTATCCCAATATTAAGTTATAGCTTTTAAAGGGATATGATATTAAGTGTCTAATTCATTAGTAGAAACCCACTCCTTTTTTTGGTTGGGAAGGCAAAGGAAAATATACTTTAAAACAAAAGTAAGCAATCTCCAATTTGTTTTGAGGGGTTTTTTGGTTTTTTTGGGGGGTGGCATACCAGGGATCAAACTCAGGACCTTGTACTTGCCAGGCAGGCACAGTGCCACTGAGCTACATCCCCAGCCCAGCAATTTCCAATATGTATGGGGAAGAATTACAATATTTTCAGAAATTGGGTGAATATTGTTTTAGATACAAAGCATCTCTACCTTAAAAAGTGTTTGCTAAACTAAACACATCCTCCACAAGACAAAGGCAACATTTTACTAAATATTTCAGTCTCCTACCATTCTATCTTTAGGATAACCCCTTTAAGTTGCTCCCCAAAATGTAAACACATTGCAAAGGTTTTTTTAAGCTAGACATTAAACACATGTGCTCTAGGCAATGTGGATTTTATGTGAACTTTTAACCAGAGGCTAATCTTTTAAAATGGAGGTTTACCTAACAACATAAAATGAGATTTTTTAGGAAGACATTAAATAATCCCATGACAATTGGTAAGAATACAACAAATTCTGTGCAAACCTGATGTATACCCAAACAAATCTGGATGTAAGAATAAAGGGGCAGACAAATGACTATAGGCTATACTTGCAATGTTTGAAATCATTTAATGATGTCCCTAAGTGTTTAAGATGTCTACAGTGCTCTTTATAGTTGTTGGGATTTTAATTCCATACAAGTCAAAATATACAACTATTATGCTGGGTGTCTTGGCACCTAATCTCATTAAATCTTGCACATATTGTTTCCAGCATGAACAGCAATATGCAAAACATAACAGGTGGCAATACTGTCAAGCTTGTGGCTTACCAATATTCCTAAGGAAGCTACATTAGACTTATTCACTAAGCTGGTATGTTAGTTAACATGTACAATAAATTAGGTCTGTCTCAAGATCCACTTCCAAGGCCATATAGCATCATACAGCCAAGTTTTATTGAATGCAACAATTGTTTCTGTGACCAATGGAGTCTCTGAAGCACAGTTGCATTTTAGAGTATTTCTCCAAGTACAAAAGTTGCTTGCTGTTAAAAGCTCCACGCCGCTTTTGTCTTATAAACTGTACTGCATCTTCATTTTTCGTGCCACTTTCAATTAAGGCTAGGGCAACAAGCACTGGAGTTCTCCCAAGACCTGCAACACAGTGAACAGCAATACAACAACCAGGTTCTTCATGAAATTTAATGTTTACAAGATTTAACCAGTCATCAACAATCTGTTTGGATGGTGAGGAACCATCATCAAAAGGCCAATCCAGAACCTGAATGCCTTCTTCTTCCACAAGAGCAGGGTCATACGTTGCATCACACACTCTTACTATTGTGGTAATGCCAAATTTTTTAAGTTCTTCAATAAATCTGTTTAAAGTTGAACTGGTTGGGTTGTATGTAATAAGAAATCTCATGTTTCTGTATGTGACTTCCACAGGAGCTAGGCAATTCGTTGGAGCCATATTAATCTAGTTTTAAAAGTTAGGAGGAAAAAACTGAAAAGTTTTGGAACATAGAAATGTCAGAAAACTGAAGTCCACTCCGGTGTACTCCAAGTGAAATTCTCAGAGCTTCGAATATGATGTTGGGAGTGGTAGGAAATGAAAGGAACCTCGTAACAAGTGGTAGCAACTATTTATTTATTCATACTGGGTCACTAGAAAGGAGGTGCATGGAAGTTTACCTCATCCAATCACGGCTCTCATGAAATGCTCCGATGACTTCACTTCTGTGCCCAGTTTTCTTGGTTTTGTGGGGGCTTCCCGCTGGAGTAGTAATGAATTTCCACAGTTCACTTGTCCTCATCAAGGTCGTGCTGTGCCTGGCAGTAATCTCCAAGACCCTTCAGAAACTCCATAAGTGTATGACCAAGAATACCACAGAAAGGAATGAATTTACTCATGAAAGACTGTAGCCTAATCATACAGCCTGTCCCGTGGCTGCGACACCGGCGACACCGCCTGCAGGCCCAGAAGTGGCAGTGGGTGTCGCAGAGAGGCGGCGGCAACAATGCGGAAACTGCGGGACATCAAAAGCTATCTCGGTGGGACAGCTCCGAGAAGACGCGTGAAGAGAACCAATACGCTCTTCCCCAGGGACTCTTGCGTCCCAAGCCCTCCCTTGCATATACAGGTCTACGTACCCAACTACTCACCAATCGCGCTCCGGGAAACGAAGAACCAATGAGCGAAGGGGGGAGGCCCGGGAGGCCCGCCCCCTGCCCTGCTGAAGCCTTCGCCGGCTGCGCGTGTCAACCTGTGGCTGACAGAAGCTGGGGTACCGGGGATCGAACTCGGGACCTTGCACTTGCGAGGCAGGCACTGGAACCACTGAGCTAAACCCCTGGCCCCAGAAGCGCAGGAGAGGCTGTTTTCGCTCCCTCAGGGAAGAGGGGCTGAGGAGGGACTGCGGAGCGGGGCGGGACGAAGTTGAAGAGAAAGATGGGTCGACCTGACCGGGAAAGGCAAGGTTGTGGAAGGTTCCCAACCACTGTGTCTTTCTGCTTGATGTTTTAACTATCTTAGGAACAACATATTGTTTGGCCTTTTTTTTTCTTAATGCAGTGACCAACTCTTAAGTTTTTACCTCCCCTAACTTCCTATTTTCCCTCTTTTGTTTTGGAAGTTTATAATTGTGACTAACATTTCGTTAGCGTGAAATACGGGTTAAAAATACTTGTTTTAAATTTAAATGGCTTTACATAAATTTAATACAACAACCCTATAAATTAAATACTAGTATGAGTCTGTGGTCCTAATTTTAAAAACCGAGTCACAGAAAGGTAAAGAAATGTGCACAAGATCATACAGCTGGTAAATGGCAGTGCTCAGATTTGAATCTCTCCATTCTGGCACCGGAATCCACCTCTCTGATACATGTGGCCTATTATACACACTATTTCTACTCTTTTAGTGCTTAAATTGCATAGACAAAGTCAAATATTGTTCAGAATTTTTTCCTGTCTCTTGAAGAAATTCAGCATCGTTCATTAATATTGCCAAGCATTTGGTTTTTAATGCCACAAATTGGATACTTTTTATAAAAAGTCAGTGTTTAAATCTTTCCAACAAATTATTGATTTCTTTGCTCATTTCTTTCTTGCGTCTACACACTTCTTTCTGAGGTTACAGTATTTGCTTTATCCAGAACTATCTTTTGGAGATTCCTTTAGTTTGAGTATATGATCAACTCTGGTAAGTGATTTATAAGTATGGAAAATATGCATTCTCTCACTGTTACATGCATTTCTCTTATTATTAATAAACTATTTCATCAGATTTTTTCTAAATTCGTTTGCTGGTTACATCGTTCTACAGTGTTTATTTTCTCTCAGCTTTTTGAAGATACTAGTTCTTGTCCTTCAGTTTCTTCTTCAATGGGCTGTTAGAATTTTCCAAAATGTCTAGACTTTGTTTCCTGGCTTATGCATCCTCCATAACTATAAAATCCTGTCTCTTTTCTTCTCTTTTTTTTCTTACACTTCATTATCTCATCATTCTTCTTGCTTATTTCCTTCTTTAATAATTTACCCTGATAGGTGGGGCTGAGCAAAGTAGAAAGCTGGCCTAAGGTGAGGATATGAAGGCAGTACACAGAATACCAGAGTTCTGGGGGATGAGGTGAAAAGGGTATGTGTATGGAAGGACAATGGTAATGATCAGAGATTATATGAGTTCTTCTAGTAATACATTGAGGATAATAGGAATTAAATTTCTTATCAGAAGCAGGGGTTATAAATATGAATAGTAGAATTTTGGATTAGAATTGATGGTATCAGTGTGAACTCATCGCTTTCAATATAGATTGTAATAGAAATACAGATATGTGTGTGCATGTTTGTGAATTCCTCAGCTTCATCTACAAGGAACGGAGACCCTGAAGCAATGACAGTCCATAGCAGTGAGCACCTAAGTGCCAAGATCATGGTTCTTTAATGCCATTTGCTATTAAAAGGAGACAGGCTCTTTGGTGAAATGGCTGATTCTAGAGCTGAGGCAGGGAAAGCACAAGAGTAACATGGAACATCTTGTTATGACAGAACAAAGGGGCAGAGAATACAAATCAGTGAGGCTATGGAGACATGACAGATAAATAATACGGCATTCTACGTAGAATCTTGGGACAGAAAAAGGACATTAAGGAAAAAGTAAAATCTGAATAAAGTATGAAATTTAGTTAATAGGCAAGTACCAATGTTGGTTTCTTACTTATGACAAATGTGTCATAATAATGTAAGATGTTGGGCCAGGGATTTAGCTCAGTGGTTCCAGTGCCTGCCTTGCAAGTGCAAGGTCATGAGTTCAATCCCTGGTACCAAACAAACAAACAAAAAGATGTTAATGGAGGAAACTAGGTGAGTAGTACACAGGGAAACTCTTAACACCATTGATACTTTTCTGGTAACCTAAAAGAGTAAACAGAAGCCAGCTTGAAGGGCCCCCACTGGCAACTTTTTTATGTAAAAATGATAGGAATGGGTTATAATTCATTTAAAAAATCCATGAATGCATACTGATATAAATAAATGGGAGAAACAAATGCTTTGCCTTACAGACAATTCAATAAATATAGCAGGAATGGTATAATTAGAAAAATCTGTATTTAGCAGTTATTATAATTATCCATTCAGCAAAGAAACATCAATAGATGCTAAAACAAGTGGGTGAAAGTTTATGTGGAATGGGATAAGTGCCTACTACAAAATTTAATAGTTATCAAAGGAAACAAATAATTACAGTAGAGAAATTTTGCACATGGGATTTTTAAAAAATATATTTATTGGTACATTGTAGGTACACAATACATTTACATTTATCATTGGGTGGTTTTACCTGATGTATCTTAGTTCTTATTTTTTCTCCCATTACCCGTGTGTCCTTCACCCCCTCTGCCCTTCCCTATTTGCATAGATTTTGTTTCCTCTTTTTTTTCCTTTTCTCATAATTTTTCCTTTCCCTTCTTCCCTTTCTCCTTCCCCTCTCACCACCCCTACACCTTTGGACCTTTTCCTATTTCAAATTATCAATTATTCATTTTAATCATTTTCATCCTTATTTACACTTTCAGTTTCTCACACTAGAGAAACTATTTGGTATTTAC